AATTGCATTTGTGTTCATCATGAAAATGACCTATAATTCAAGTGAGAAAATACCAACTTCATCTCTTTGATTCTCCCTACTCAAGAATGATCTCAAGGAGTTCTTAGACATTTTGGAAAGCTTGCAATGTGCTCTATAACACATCTTTGAATTTCTTTTGAAGATTCCCCTTAGAACTATATGAAAAAAGTGCCATGAAGTTAGGTCAAAATTCTGGCCAATACCATTCTTGAAATTATAACTTGAGATCCAAGAACTTTTGGAAGAAGTTGTGTGAAGAAAAGTTGTATACTTCATGGAGATCTACAACTTTCATGTTGGAAGTTTCTCTTGAATCATCTTTCATCATGGTAAAAATTTGGCTCAAAGTTATGAAAAAACATGAAATTTTCAACACTTAGAAAAATTTCTAAGTTTAGAAATTTTGAATTTTCAAAATGAAATCTTGACTTTTTGATTTTTTTGATGAATAAGTTTCATATTTTGATATTTTTTGATTAATTATGATTTTTGGCACTCGAATTTGACCAAAAAGTCAAAGTTTGACTTTTCAGTATACAGTTGACTTTTGATCAGTTGACTGCAAAATTCATCTGTCAATCCAATGGATTTGCAATGATTTGAATCATGTCATTAGGTAAAATATGAAATTGGACTCTTGAGATCATTCCTTAAACCAATTGACCAATTTCTAGGTCAAAAATCAGAAATTGCTCTTTCCCAGTCAAAACCCTAATTTTGACCATTTTGCCCTTTTGGAGATTTGATCAAATTTCTTGAGGAAATGTGGTCCAAAATTGATCAACTGATACATATGAGTTTAAGATGTTGATGTGGATAAAAAATTATGGAGTTTGACTGTAAATTGGCCATGGTTGACTTCTTCCCCAATACAATTGATTTTTAGGTTAATTGCTCAATTGACTGATAAAAAATGTGATTCAAAGGTTGAAACTTGACATGAGTAATATTGGGGGTCCATAATGATCCATGAAAATCATATGGGGCATAGAAAGTTCAAAAATCTTTGTGAAAACTCAAACCCTAATTTTGATCATCAGTGCTTGAGGAGGTGTCTGGAGCTGATCAAACCCTAGTGCAGTCTTGAGCCCAAGGAGATCCTGTGAGCAAATTCTTGATAAGTGAGAGGGAAAATTTTGGGGTACAACAGTCACCATAGAAGTATATTTATTCTAAAAGAAAAGGAAAAATATCGATAAAATCCTTAAAGAACAAAAAATGCACGTCACGACCAAATTAGGATTCGGGAGTCGATCATTTGAGAGAAATGTATTAACATTCCTCACATATGCTTTACTCAACGGCAAATGTTTAGATAGCTTTGTGAATAAGAGTATTATCTTATGTTATTTGTTTTCTTCTAATTATTATGCGTCATTTACATAAATAAAGAAAGGGGGACATTTTAAAGGTTTTTTATTAATGTTTTTGATGAGATGTTAAATTTAACTCCTATGTAGTGTGATGGGGAAATCAAGACTATGTAGTTTTGGATAACAAATGTAACTACTATAAATAACACTTTTCATAATGAAACGTTCACCTCAAACATGCTAAAAACCGAGAGTATAGGTCTTGGGAGCGCCATGTTTGATTTTTTAAAGAAAATAAACATTTTCCTTCGATTTTCTCAAAAACCTAGGTAACATAGAAATAAGTGAGCGTAATGTGTTATCCATAAAAAATAATAAACCTATTCCTTCATTTTTTTTAGAAAACCGAGGGAATATAACTATAAGGGTTCTCGCTTTGAATCTCTGCTACTACATTTAAAGTTTTTTCAATGATTTCTCACTTGGCGTCTTTCCAGGTTCCCTTTTTTCTTACTTTTTTTCCTTTTTTCTCTTTGTTAATTAGTAATTCTCAAAACCTTTTTTGTCAATAAAAAATAATAGGAAATAATAGGAAATGAAATATTTCATTGATAATCAATTATGGATTACAAAAAAAATAGGACAATAGATAACTATTCCACATATTCAAACTTTTGACTCCACTCAACTTCAACATTATCCTTATTAACTATATATAACTGATAGAAAAGTTCAGAAATAACTCTTCCATATGGTATGAGGAAATTTATTTCCTCCCAAGTGATAATTATCATTTTGTTTTAGAAGTTAAAAATGGCAAGAGGAAGACTAACTCCGACGTTGCAGGTAAGGAATTATAAGAGATGTTTGACATCCCAAGTAAGCATTTCTAGTTATTTCTCTCTTGGACGGAGATTTTACACTATAAGTTTATGCTAAACTTTTGCAATTAGGAGTAGAGTAATAGGACTGGTGAGCTTATTGTTATTGGCATAAATTAGGTGAAGGCGAGTTTAGTAGATATTCTTGGATCTATAATGTTCAACACAACTACCTTTCTCTTTACAATTTATTGTCTTAGAAATAAGTGATGAAGTATTGGTGATAGGAGAGTCATTGACATAGGACTGGATTGACTCAGCATCATGAACAGATGGCACAACGAATGCATTTAACCAGAACTCTTTAACGACATTGGTGTATATGGATCCATGAAGAATGTCAAAGTAACTATTCAACTTTTGTTTGAATATAGTTTCCTTAGATCAAAACCTTTGTCTTTCAAATCATCAAAATCAACAAACTTTTTATTGATAACAAACAAAAGATTTTCATCTATTTTTGAATAAGAGAAAAGACTTTGAAACTAGGTTTGAAGATACGAAGAGTTGGAAATGAGACATTGAAAATAGGAATAATGTTTAAATACTGGAGAATAGGAAGATCAAACGCCTCCTTGAAAATGCAAAAGATATGTTACATTTTGAATATGGATGATCATTCATTTTCTAGTGATATGATTCCAATGCGGAGAAATAAAACTGCATCTTACCTCAGATTTTCTCATAACCGAGGGGAAAAATAATTCATGAACTTTTCTTTTTATTATATTTTTTATTTGTAAACTAAATGATCTATCCCTTCGATTTTCTTAATAACCAAGGGATAAAATATCAGATTTTACTATAAAAGTACTCCTTAAATTTTTTTTACCATAATCCTAACTCTTAAGCATTGTTCTTTGGGATGGATTGCAAGATAATAAAATCTTGGAACTTAAGAAGCTTGAATAAGTTATCTATGATGGATTGAAAATGCATAAAGACATTTTCCAATGGTTAGAACAGATAAATCCTTTAGAAGTTGGATCATTCAATCTATATAACATTTTCCAGTGTTTGGAGTAGATAAGTCCATATAGCAAAGATTTATTGTTCTCAAAGAATTTGTATTTGTTATAATATTGTGTTTTAATATTTTGTGTAAACAATGTATTCTAAAAAAATAAGTTGTTCACTTCGGTTTTAAACAAAACCAAAGGGAAAATTTTGCGTTATAATTGAGGATATTGATCACCGTCCTTAAACAAATCTATGTCATCCATTTCATGAGTATCAGCGCTCGATATACTTCCATTAGTGATCCGTATAAAACCTAAAAAACTTCCATTATAAAAGCATTATGATATCTAAAATTGATAATAAAACATCATGAAGCGCTTGAAACATCATTAAGGTTTGCAAGATTATTTGCCATGAAGATTTCTCTATGATGGATTGCAAGAGCAGAAAATTATTTGAGTTCAAGGTTTTTGTTCTTAAATAATCATATAATTGAATATTTATTTAACCATTTTTTATTTTATATCATAAATAAATGCAAGCAATATCCAACATTTGATCTTCCCTAAAATCCAATGATTCAAAGATCCAACATCTTATCTTCATTGGCAATGATGACGATAAATCGAATTCAAAATTTGTTATATATTTTTACTATAATAATATGTGTAAACAGTGTAATATTTTTTGTAAACAAAGTAGTTTATAAACAAATTAAATTATTAATGTTCAGTGTAAATAATGTAATTTGTTTTTTTAAAGATTTTTTCTTTCCTCTCGGATTCGGTCATAAACCTAGAGGTATGTGCCACTAGTTTTGAAAATATAAAAAATCTATTTTTGGGGATTGAACCAACGACCAATTAAAGTATCCCCTCTATTATTCTAAAACCAAGGGGTTAAGTGGAAAGTTATAATGATGCCTTTTATTACCTCTCATATGTAGCCAATGCTATATCAACTCCGCGCTCGTGGTTAAATGTGTTTTTTGTATTAGTTTAAAAAATAAACATTACCAACATATCATGAAAAAATATTACACCAAAAAAATCAAAATTAAACATTACCTTTCTTTTTAAAGCATCTGGATTATGAGTTGTTTCTTTGCTTCTTCTAGGTCATGACCCATTTTATCACACTCGATACATATGTAGGTCCCTCCAACTCTCCTTAGTCTTGAATCACCCTCACCTAATTCCCTAAACCTAGGTTTCTTTGGTTTAGGTTTAAAATATTTGCTTCAACTTCAGGCCACAAGAGTAGTGCTTCCTTATTTCTTAAATTATATCAATAATCATAACATAGTCATTTGTATGCATCTTGTTTACCACAACCTTTGTAACTCACTTGAACTCTCCAGTTCTATTATTCAAAATCCCAGCATAATTTTGGGTTCCCACATATGTTTTTATTTGAAAAGTCAGTCTGCCTA